CAGCCTGGACAAACAAGGCATTACAGTCAGAGTGATAGAGCCAACAGACTGGGTCAATGCTCTTGTTGTAGTCAAAAAGCCACACTCAGGCAAACTTAGAGTATGCCTTGACCTGAGGGGCCTCAACAAAGCAAAAAAATGCCCACAATACCCTATGCCAATGGAGCATGTTACTATAGCATTTTGGATGCCAGGTCAGGTTATTAGGCAACTAAACTCACCAAAGATGCCTCATTGACCCGAGAGACCTCAACAAAGCAATAAAACGCCCACACTACCCTATGCCAATGGAGTATATTACTTTAGCATTTTAGATGCCAGGTCAGGTGATTGGGCCATTGAACTTACCAATGATGCCTCATATCTGACAACTTCCAATACAGTTTTTGGCCGCTACAGGTTTTGTTGTTTGCTCTTTGGCCTCATCTTTGGCCAAGATGAGTTTCAGCGTAAAATTAATGAAACTTATGAAGGACTCAATGGTGGTGTTGTGATTGTAGATGACATTCTCATCTATGGCAGCACAAAAAAGGAGGCTGTTGTTCATCCCTGTGCAATGCAGAGATTACATGAGAGAGGTCTTCGGCTCAACTCTGAAAAGGTGCCACTTAAGTCTCATACTTTTGGGCTTTCGGTAGCTGGAGACAGTGCTGGGCATGGTTAACTATCTAGCAAAGTTTGCAGCATGCATCTCTGATGTAAATGCACCTTTGTGACACCTACTGAAGCAAACCAGCTAATTAGTCTGGGATGCACAGCATGAAATAGCCATCCAGAAAATAAACGACCTAATCACCAGAGAGCCTGGACCAGTCCTTACATACTTTGATCCAGAAAAAGAGCTCCGGCTACAGGTAGGTGCTTAAAAGCATGAACAGTTTTGTGGCAAGAAGCATGGACCATTAGCTATGTCTCCAGATCACTGATGGAGAGCGCGACAAATAACATCCAAATTGAGAAGGAGCTGTACGCAATTCACTGCAGCACCACCTAGACTTCAAAGAATGATTTTTCTGCTCCAAAAGTATGACTTCACGATCATTCACTGACCAGGCAGAGACATCCCTGTCACTGATACATTTTCAGGGAGATGCCTTTCCCGACATGATGATAACCTCAGTGAAGGTATGGAGATGCAAGTGTATACTGTGTACAGCAACTTACCAGTAAGTGATCCTAATCTCAAAGAGATCCAGACTGAAATAGAGAGAGACACTCAGTTTGTTCTGCTCTCAAAAGTCATCCGTGAATGCTGGCCTGATGAACAAAGAAATGTCCTTGAAGCATAGCAGAATTCTGGAATCACAGAGATGAATTATCTCAAATCAATGGCATTATCCTCAAAGGTGTGAAAATAATTATTCCAGCTTTCCTGAAAAAGGAAATGCTGTTAGGGATCCATACCACCCATGTGAGCATGGAAAAAATGCAAACAAAAAGCCAGCGATATCATATTTTGGCCAGTGATGTGCAGACAGATTGAGAGAATTGTTGGAATATGTTCTGCCTGTTTAGAATGCCGCCCATCTAATGCCAAAGAATCGCTGATGTCACACAGAATTCCCGACAGACCATGGCAGGTAGTAGCAACAGATCTTTTTATATGGAATAATGAAGACTAAATCGTGACAATCGACTACCATAGCAGGTACTTTGATTTGGAGAAATTAACTAGCATAACATGTACAGCAGTCATTCACAATCTCAAAGCAGCATTTGCCAGGCATGGCACTGCTGAGCAGATTATCTCAGATAACAGCCCACAATACAAATGTAGAGAATTTGAGGTCTTCACAGAAACTTGGGGTTTCACTCACACCACGACAAGCCCTCATTAACCACAGAGCAATTGCCTTGCCAAAAAAAAAAGAAGTGCACATTGCAAAATCCCTTCCGGAAAAGGCAAAAGCATGCAGGAGAGACCTCTACCTCAGCTTGCTTGAGTATCGAAACACACCTATTGATAACTTCAAGTCCCCAGCACAACTGTTGATGAGTTGCAAACCTTACTCTACTCTCCTGAACAGTGACCAACAGCTACAGCCAAAGATTGTGAACTCCAGAGACGTACAAGCAAAACGTGTACTGCAGCAACAGAGCCAAAACAGTATTATGACCAGTCAGTGCAACCACTACCAGAGCTCCATCTTGATGAGGCAGTCTGAATCAGGAACAGGGACGGTGGAAGCCAGCCACAGTAGTCCAAGCAGCGAACATCCGAAGATCCTACTACGTTCGCACAACATAAGGACAAGTGTACCAACTTATAAGAGCAAGAGAAGATCTGGTATTGTACCCAAATTGCTTCAGGGCAGCAGGAAAAGAGGTTTTCCGATAGCTGCAGCAGAGTATGTAAAGTTCACCAACATGCTGATGATGGCTTGATGCTGATAATAGTATTATTTATAATATATAAAAATATTCAAGAGTACTGATAGTATTTCCTTCTGATGTACCAATGAAAGCACACTTATTACACAAAACACTGATTACATAAAACATTGAAATCTTGTTCTGGGGAACAGCATAAAATACTTCATTTGGATGACATCTAAAATCTGCAGGATAAGCCTGGCCTGACCTGCCTACAATATACTATAAGGATGCTGAATTTGCAAACTTCATCTTGCAAAATGCTGCAAGGCAGATTAGTAATACAAAGGTATCTCCAGGCTGACAACAATGGATAAGCATTGCAATGCTAGCATATATGATATTAGATATTTATTTTTCTCTCAGAAATATAATTTATGTTACTCTTGCCACATTTGTCAATTGCTGTCAGCCTGGGAGACTTTTCTGTATTACTAATCAGACTTGCAGGGTTTTGCACAAGTTACCAGTCTGGTACATGCCTGTTTATTACTAATAAACGTGTTTATTAGTAATAAACATGCCTGTTTATTACTTTGCCGAGTTGAACAGCTGCCCATCCTGTGCATCTGATGCTGCTGCCTCTTCTGCCTTGATTGGGTGCCACTGCTGCCAGCCTTCTGGACCGGCTTGACCACCATTGAGCTTCATGCTGTACAACGCTGTGCAAACCTCCCCCTCACATCCTGACCCCACTGATGCTGCTGCTCATAAACTAAACTAATCAAATTAATCATTTGCTCCACCTGTTTTTCCCGTTTTTGTACTAACAATGTTTACTATCCGGTGTCGACCAGAGGAGGATGGGTTCCCCTTGTGAGTCTTGGTTCCTCTCAAGGTTTCTTCCTGTCTCTTAGGGAGTTTTTCCTTGCCACTGTCGCCACTGGCGACGCTCATGGGGGCTCAGACCCAGATTTCTTTTTGTAATGCTGATTTTTTTTTGTTTTGTAAAGCTGCTTTGTGACAACACCTGTTGTAAAAAGCTCTATATAAATACACTTTGCTTGCTTGCTACTACAAGACTTTTTTTTTCTTCACGCGTGTGGAGAATGCAAACTGCCAATAATGGTACGTCAGCTAACAGACGCCCACGCTGAGTGATGGGGGAGTGGGAGGGCCATCCTACCCACACATAGGGATCGGGACTGAGGCCATTTATGGTCTCTTGTACCCCCATCCACAGAATTACTGGCACAATTACTGTGTATCATGTTATTTAGAAGATCTCTTGTGTTGTTAATCGGCCTTTGAGGCATTTTGCACTTAACAGCTTGAGAGACCACTTTTCTAATGAACACTAGAGCTATCATCAGTTTTTTGATTTATCAGCTTATTCAATTTCAGTTTATCGCCATCAGATTTGGAGGCTTTTAGACTTTTAGGAGGCTTTCATTCTTATTATCTGTCTTTATATTTGTCAATTAATATCAGCCTGAGATGCACTTTGCATTATTAATCAGCCTTGCAGGCAAATAAGCTCTCTTCTAGAAGGTATCCATTTTGTTATTTCAGCCTTTGAGGCATCTGGCACTTATGCACTCATCAGCATGCTCCCTTCTTATTAGTACTATACCTATTATTAGTTTTTATCAGCCTGTCAGATTACATTTTATTGCCATCAGCCTTGGAGGCTTGCAATTAATTCTTATCAAGCTTGGAAGTATTTGTCAATTGTTAACAGCCTGAGAGACCATTTGGATAATTAAGCTGCCTTGCTGGCATATAAGTTCTATCACAGAAATTATCCATTTTATCAGCCTTTGGGGCATCTGGTGCTATCTGCCTAAGAGACCTTCTCTCTTCTTAGCACTTTAGCTATCACAATTCATGTCATAAAGCCTGGCAGTTTTCAGTTTAATCAGCCTTTGAGGCCTCCACTTATGTGTGTTAGCCTTAAATATTTGCCAGTTGTTATCAGCCTGGAAGGCCTATGTATGTTAATTATCAGCCTTGCAAGATTTTGCACAAGAACTACTAGATTTAGAGGTATATACTTTTTTGTCAAGAATGTATCTATTTTTGTTAATCAGCCTTTGAGGTCCCTGGCAATTATCGGCCTAAGAGACCTTCCAAGCCTGGGAGCTACCACTAGTATCAGTCTTTCCTGCCTGTCGAATATAATTTTTTGCCATCAGTCTTGGAGACTTTAAGTTCATTTTTATCAGCTTCTTAAGTATTTGTCAATTACTGTCAGTCTGAGAGACCCTTTGCATTATTCTTATGCCTTTCAGGCATAAGATATCTCTATAAGAAGGAATCAATTTTTAAGTTTATCAGTCTTGTCTCAGCCCGAGGGGCATCCCCTCTTTTCTTGGCAGCTTTGGAGGTTTTTCTCACACCTATACATGTTACTAATCAGCAACAAGGGATTTTGCATATGTTAGAAGTTGTGTAACTGTATACTGTAGAGCAGGATTACCCAGCTCTGATATTGAAGAGCTAAAGTCTAGCAAAGTTCGTTAATGTAGCCTGTGTAGCAGAACACCTTCTGTTTGTTTGTTTGTTTTTTCTGTGCTACGTCAGTAATTAGGATGGGAGCAGGCGTGAACAGAGCCACCTGGGTCCTAGGGGCAGGCATATATACAAACACCTTGGGGTCCTGGTAGCAGTTTGGTTCATGGCTGCTAGGCTAAGTGGGCGGGCGTGTTGGTGTCAGCATTCCTTGTTGTTGGAGCCGCGGGTTCAGTCTCTACTACGTAAAGATGTGTTGAGTTGTATGTTACCTACTGTGCTCCTGCTGTAGTGCTGGTATTGAGCGGTTTAAAGTGGGTTTCTTGGCTGGTGTCGAGGCGCTGGTGGACGGGCGCAGCTGAGGCTTGTGTCCTGTTTGCTTTAGCCACTTGGAGCTAAGCTGATGCGAATGGCGACGGCAGCAACGGTGCGTGTTTTAATTCATTTAGTATGCAATAAGGTATGCTGCTGTGTCCTGATTACTGTGGTACCACGGTAAAGTTGGTTTTATTTTCGATATTCGTCCTTTCGGCGCTAATAACATTTGATCGGACTACGGTAGTCAGCAAAGACTTCATATTCATGACAGTCCGACCACAGAGAGTGATGCGCACCTGTTCTTTTGCAGTTTGGGTGGCATTTAACGTACCGCTCTTTTTATGTTAATACCATAGAACTGAGACAAGTTTTTCAGTCGGAAGAAAAATCATGCACTTCTAGACCACGCCTACATCCATGCACACGCCTCTGTTTTCCTCCAAAGCGTTTCAGTGCATTTAAATACATATTTGAATTGTTCGTGCTAACAATAGACACCGTCAGACAATAAAACGTCAATAGCTCCATAAACACTGTGTCTATACACGTCTGATTAATTGTTATTTACTGTAAATTATGGTTAGAAATACACACCACTTTAATTTAGAAAAAGGACTTTGAATTAACCTGTAACTAAAATGTACTTGCCAATACTTGTCCTAACAGTACTGAACATACCTTACCTGTAAAAACTGATATTACCTGTATACTGATATAGCTAGTTAGCTTGATGATGGAGGTTCAGTAATCGACAGACATTAGCAGTCTTGAAGGTTCAATAGATCCTTAACCATCTAAAATATTAGTTTAAAAATGAGAGTGTAGAAAAGAAAACGTCTTATTTAAGTGGATTAAATTGCAAATCAAAAGTTTTTTAAATCCGTCAAACACTGAGTCAGATTTAAGTTTTAAATCTTTTACATTTTTTTCATTTTGAATTTCGATAACATTTTAGACATTGAGCATTTAAATCAGGAGTGTTTGGTGCAGATAAGTTTCAGTAATGACACACAAACTTTGAATTTTACTTGAGGATGTAATGTAGCTAAAATACTGCTTAGATTCAAAATGCAGCATTCACTGCAATTAATACAGCTGAAATGCTTTTGAAGGTTAAAATACAAATATTTATATAAAGTAATTATTGCAGTACATTCAAAATTCAAAAGTTGTGTATGATTGCTGAAATTGGATGTAATACAGCTGAAATGCTACTGAAATTCAAAATTGATAAAAGTTAAAGCAATATATCCAGAATGTAAAGGCTGTGCATCATTCCTGACATCTCACTGCACCATACGCAGCTGTTTTTAATGTTGTATATAATTTAGCAGAAATATTATTGAAATTCAAAATAGATAAAAATTATACGAACGCATTGCACCATACACAGTTATTTTATCATATTTGTATATGATTGCTGACATCTTGCTGAACCATATACAATGGTTTTAGTGATGTATGTAATGTGGTTGAAATGCTATTGAAATTCAAAATACATAAACATTAATATAAAGTATAAAGCTATTTCAGCTAAATTATATACAAATTTAAAAACAACTATGTATGGTGCAGTGCAGTGTCAGCAATGATGCACAGCCTTTAAATTTTGGATATATTGCTGTGACTACTTTTTATTAATTTTTATATATTTTGAATTCCAATAATATTTCAGCTGCATTATTTACAACATTAAAAACAGCTGTGTATGGTGCAGTGAGGTGTCAGCAATGATGCACAGCCTTTGGATTTTGGATATATTGCTGTTACTACTTTTTATTAATTTTTTTATTTGAATTTCCATCATTTTTCAGCTGCATTATTTACAACATTAAAAACAGCTGTGTATGGTGCAGTGAGGTGTCAGCAATGATGCACAGCCTTTGGATTTTGGATATATTGCTGTAACTACTTTTTTTTTATTTTTATATATTTTGAATTTCAATAATGTTTCAGCTGCATTATTTACAACATTAAAAACAGCTGTGTATGGTGCACCAAGGTCTCACCAATGATGCACAGCCTTTGGATTTTGGATATATTGCTGTAACTACTTTTTATTAATTTTTATTTATTTTGAATTTCAATAATATTTCAGCTGCATTATTTACAACATTAAAAACAGCTGTGTATGGTGCAGTGAGGTGTCAGCAATGATGCACAGCCTTTGGATTTTGGATATGTTGCTGTGACTACTTTTTATTAATTTTTATATATTTTGAATTTCAATAATATTTCAGCTGTATTACACCCAACACTACAAACAATTTTGTATGCTGCAGTTAGGTTTCAGCAGTCATACACAACTTTTGAATTTTGAATGTACTGCAATAATTACTTTATATTAATATTTGTATTTTAACCTTCAAAAGCATTTCAGCTGTATTAATTGCAGTGAATGCTGCATTTTAAATCTAAGCAGTATTTTAAATGTTCAATGTCTAAAATGTCGAAATTGAAAATGGAAAAAATAACTTAAATCTGACTCACTGAGTTTTTGATGGATTTAAAAAAGTTTTGATTTGCGACTTGATCCACTTAAATAAGACGTTTTCTTTTCTACATTCTCATTTTTAAACTAATATTTTAGATGGTTAAGGATCTATCGAACCTTCAAGACTGCTAATGTCTGACATTTACTGAACCTCTGTCATCAAGCTAACTAGCTATATCAGTAAACAGGTAATATCAGTTTTTACAGGTAAGGTATGCTCAGTACTGTTAGGACAATTATTGGCTAGTACATTTTAGTTACAGGTTAATTCAAAGTCCTTTTTCTAAATTAAAGTGGTGTGTATTTCTAACCATAATTTAGAGCAAATAACAAATAACACATGTTTATGGAGCTATTGACGAACAATTCAAATATGTATTTAAATGAACTGAAACGTTTTGGAGGAAAACGGTGTGTGCATGGGTGTAGGCGTGGTCTAGAAGTGCATGATTTTTCTTCCGACTGAAAAACTTGTCTCAGTTCTATGGTATTAACACAAAATAGCTATGGCCAGTAATGTGGTGTTCTGTTTGTGTACCTGGCCAAGTAGCATGGCGAGCCTGGAGCAAGGCCAACACCAACTGTAGCGTCCAGTTTACATCATTGGCCTTATTAGAGCCCCAGGTATGTTTTGATTTTGTACCGTGCAGAATGTTCTGCTTTTGTTACAGGCATTTGGCTCAGTAACATGGCTGTTAAATGAGCACTTGAGTGCAACTTCTAGCTGTTGCATTATTGCTGCTTCGCATTACTGCTGCTAATAGGTGTTTTGCAATGCAGACATCTGTGTTAGACTTCAGTCCATGTTCCTGAGCCAGGCTGTCAAGTTATTCTTGAACTTGGAAAAGTACACTAATTTGTTTATCTGTTTGTGCTTTATGAGGGATGACTGTTAAAAATGCCCTGTGTCTTTCTCTCTGTATTGTACTAGATTGACTGCAGCGTATACCCTGTGCCCGCTGCTGTTCTCCTACAACTTTTATTATTCCTTTTTCTCAGTTTTAACTGAGATGCTGCTCTAACTTTTAAAGAAAGTATATTATTGTCTAAGCTGCCCTCTAGCCTGTGCCCATATTGTGTGTGCAAACCGATATTTAGTGTATTGTGAGCCACTGGCTAGAGGGGTTGCAACTTCTTTATTTTTATTACTATTATTATTTCTTAAGTTATATCTTGGTCTACATGGGGTTAAATCTAGTCAAAGGAGTTTGGCACTGATGAATGTTTGGGGATGGATTGCTGTTTTCACTAGAATGGTAGAAATTTGCATTGTGCTTGGAGTGATTAGCATGTGTTGCTGGAATGCTGTGTGTGTAATTAATTAATTTATTTTTTTAATCTATTCACGTGTTTCATTGAGAGAACAATCTTTTGTTAGTGTCCCAACGGGCCAAGGCTTAAGTAGCCCCAGTAGTACTGTGAATATTTTTCTTTTTAGTTCTGGATGTGTTTTTTTATATTTATTAATTTTTTTTATTTTTGTTTTGTTTTATAAACCGAACTGACAGTCAGTGCCTGACCTCAGCTTTCTTTAATAAAGATTGTATTTTTGTATTTCCCTGAAACTGTATTTGTGAAGTTACTACGGTCAGAGCTCCCCTTTGCTCTAGGTATAAACCAAGGGGTGGCATAGTCTGGTATACAATAACGGAGCCGCCACATTAATATACTTGTTCAAACACACCTTACTCAACTCATAAGTTAGCCTTTAATTGCTAGATGTTGTATGTCTAAGGTAGAAAATTCACCAAAAATTTTGGCAGCTCTGTAGTAAGCAGAAACTAAAGCACAGTTTCCTTGTGTAAATTGTGAGAACAAAACTAAAGCTGACATTCTGTTGTTGAAGCTAGCTAGCTTGCTAAACAGAACTCAATGCCAACCTAACTGGCAAATACAAGCTAGTTATGCAGCTGTTGAACAATAAGTTATTTATACAATCCTGATTACAAGTGTGTGTGTGTGTGTGTGTGTGTGTGTACACACACACTGATTAGGCATAACATTATGACCACCTCCTTGTTTCTACGCTCATTGTCCATTTTATCAGCTCCACCTTACTATATAGGTGCACTTTGTAGTTCTACAGTTACAGACTGTAGTCCATCTGTTTCTCTGATACTTTGTTAGCCCCCTTTTACCCTGTTCTCCAGTGGTCAGGACCCCCATGGACCCTCACAGAGCAGGTACTATTTGGGTGGTGGATCATTCTCAGCACTGAAGTAACACTGATGAGGTGGTGGTGTGTTAGTGTGTGTTGCGCTGGTACGAGTGGATCAGACACAGCAGTGCTGCTGGAGTTTTTATCAGTGGTCAGAGGACGCTGCCGACAGGAGGCAGTTGACTAGATATTTTTGATTGGTGGACTATTCTCAGTCCAGCAGTGACACTGAGTGACACTTTAAACTGCTGCTGGCTTTTAAGGCAGATATATGTAAACGCATTGGCTTTCAAGACGACATGAAGGTGTAGAGAGATAATTTCACTTAATAAGATTAGAGAAATAAAACTATATAGAAATAAGTTTAGTAGACTGAAATCCCTACACCAATCACAGAATGAGAAATATCACATTTACCAACTAATTTTAAGATGATTTCTCTCCAAAATATTTTTTGCAGTGTAGATGGCATCAAGCAAACCCAGAACCCCTTTTCCCAGAGAGTGTCAAAAAGGACAGCAGCAAATTTTTATTAAAAAGACATAAGTCAGGTATAAGAAAATTTTATCCATTTAGCACATTCAAAACATGTTGATTACAGTGCATCACAAAATGTTATGTAACAACCATTTCCTCCCATTACCATTGTCCACTGCTATAATACACAAATATATACGTGCAGAAATAAAAATCCGTATTATGTTTGTTTAAACAATGATGCGGATGGAACATGTTTTAGATCAGCTGGTTCACGGTTTCTTTCCATTTACATCTTGGCATACAGCCCTAATTCTGCTTGCAGGTCATGTTCATGAACTGAAATGGTGACTGTATATCCTCATATTTAACTCTCTGCTTTGATTCATCTGAATGTTTGGGTTTTGAACTGCCTGTAAATCCTGTAAAGTTTGATGTCTCTTGGTAAATGATATCATCCATTTGGGACAGGGGCAACAAAAGACTGGTTACACCCAAGGGACGTCTCTAATTAGGTTAATTGGCAACAGATCAATAACATGATTAGGTATAAAAAGAGCATCTCACAGAGGCTGAGTCTTTCGGAAGTAAAGATGAGGAGGGGTTCACCACTGTGTGAAAAACTACATGAGTAAATAATGCAAGAATAACAGTTCTCAGCATAAAATGAACTTAAAAAGAACTTATGATTTCATCATCTACACTAAATATTATTAAAAGATTGAGATTCCAGAGAAATCTCTGTATGCAAGGGACAAAACTGAAAACCAATACTGGCTGGCTGTGACCTTCAGGCCCTCAGGTGGCACTGCATTAAAAAGACGAAATTCTGTAGAGGAAATCTGCATGGGCTCAGACACTTCTGAAAACCGCTGTCTGTGAACGCGGTCAATCACTGCATCCACAGATGCAAGTTAAAACTCTACTATGCAAAGAAGAAACCATATACAAACAGGACACAGTGTCCATGATTTCCAAGGAGAATTTTAAATATTGATTTGTCGGACCACGGGACACTTCTCCACTTCCCCTCAGTCCAGTTTAAATGAGCAAAGGATCACCATGCATGTTTTAATATATATATATATATATATTCATTCAGCAGAGGAGGAGGAGAACCCAGCTGTGTATCTATGAAGAGTGACCAGTCCATGCATGCACATACTGAATTCAGTAGAGGAGGAGGAGAACCCAGCTGTGTATCTATGAAGAGTGACCAGTCCATGCATGCACATACTGAATTCAGTAGAGGAGGAGGAGAACCCAGCTGTGTATCTATGAAGAGTGACCAGTCCATGCTGGCGCATCCTGAATTCAGCAGTGGAGGAGGAGAACCCAGCTGTGTATCTATGAAGAGTGACCAGTCCATGCTGGCGCATCCTGAATTCAGTAGAGGAGGAGGAGAACCCAGCTGTGTATCTATGAAGAGTGACCAGTCCATGCTGGCGCATCCTGAATTCAGCAGTGGAGGAGGAGAACCCAGCTGTGTATCTATGAAGAGTGACCAGTCCATGCTTGCGCATCCTGAATTCAGCAGTGGAGGAGGAGAACCCAGCTGTGTATCTATGAAGAGTGACCAGTCCATGCTTGCGCATCCTGAATTCAGCAGTGGAGGAGGAGAACCCAGCTGTGTGTCTATGAAGAGTGACCAGTCCATGCTTGCGCATCCTGAATTCAGCAGTGGAGGAGGAGAACCCAGCTGTCTGGCTATGAAGAGTGACCAGTCCATGAAGCAGCTTCCTTTATTCAGCAGTGGAGCTGTGTCCTGTGACCCAGAGTGAGTTACTGTCTGTCAGTGTAACCGTGATTAGTAATTAAGCAGCAGCTAAATAACTTCAGCACATACCTTTTTGTTGACACACTTCTTTACATGACTTTAATTCTCAGCCATGGAAAAGGACAGTTCAGCACATCCAGTTCCTAGCTGTGTGGTACGCTTACATTTGTATATGCACTAACACCATTTATTCTTTCCACCACAAGGCCTGTTCAAATAAATGAACGTCAGATGGCAGATGTGCAACAGGACAACACTTTATTAAACAATTTAATAGAAGCTGGAGCTTAACTGTAATCAGGTTTCGTCCTTAAGTCTAAAACATGCTTATATACCTAATACAATCTTGAATCGTTCCCAAGCATTAACGGATACCCACTGGATTTAAGGTATAACACTCCACCTCAAGTGACACCTCAGACAAGTAACCAATAAATAAGCTTCACGAGAAGATATAAAAATATATATCATATATAAAAATAAATCCTCAAACCATACACAACACTCACTCTATATACCAATGGGTTTTAACCATATCAGCAAGGGAAATTAAAGATTGCAATATGAAACACTTTATAATTTAGAAGAAGCCTTTACTGGCCTCCCACTAGCTCTCAGGCTTTGGATGCCTCGACAGCAGAGATACTGGTTTGGACAACTGCAAACTTTCTGAGACAGACTTTATTTCCACTTCCAAGCAGGCAGGCCAGTCTCACATGACAGAGGAACATATGTTCGCCTTGTGCACATGCCACGAGTTACGAACTAAAGTGAGCCACAGGTCAGCTTAATAAAGAAGCAGTGAAACAGCGTTAGGCCATAAGAGCTACCATGCCACTGGTTCCTACTGTCTCTCGGTTAGCTGTAGTGCTGCTGGGTCTTACTGCAGTTACACATTTATCACAGGAAAAAGTACTAAAAGCATATCAACATAATGAATCCAGTCAAGAAAACTGATTTTAGCATTGCTCAATACACAGCTTGTGACATTCAAAATAGTAATTTATTCATAGTTAAAGGTATTTCCTGCATAGTGTGGAAGAGCACCTTCCACAGCCTAACCAATCAGTTAACCTCAAATCTAACCATAAGCCTAACAAACCAATAGACATTGCTCATCGCTCATCTAGTTTTTATTCAGGCTCTCTGTTCCATAAGGTGTTGCAAGATAAGCGTTGCTTGAAACAGTCCAAAACAGGACAATCAAGAAAAATCTGTGCCTGCAGAAAGTTTTTTTTTATTTATTTATTTTTTAAGATTAATTTGTAGTTTAAAAATAACAGACAAAATGAAGAAATTAACATACATCCCCGATTCCAAAAAATATTGGGACAGTATGTGTAAACAGTACAAAAACCAAATCTTAGGAATATCATTGTATTTGTAAATATACGTTCATTCTAAATGTAATGCCTGCAACATGTCTTAAAAAAGCTGAGACAGGAGCATGTTTACCACTGTTACATCACATTTCATTTTAACAGCACTTATTAATTATTTAGGGCTTGAAGACATAAACTGATCCAGTTTTGAAAGTGTATTTTTTTTGCCATTCTTTTGTTGTCCTGAGTTGTGCAATCCAAAAAGTGTTCAGCATTAGTAGTGCTTTCACAGATGTGCAGATTATCCTCTAATACCTGACCCCTTCCATGATAGATGCTGGATTTTGAACTTCATGCTGGTAACAATCTGTATGGTCCTTTTCTTGTTTGGTCTGACATTCATTATATCCACAAACAATCTGAAAGGGTGACTCCTCAGACCACACTACACTTTGCCAATGAGCATCAGTCCATTTGAGATGAGCTTGAGTCCAGAAAACTCGACAGCATTTCTGGATGCTGTTGACATATAGCTTCCACTGTACATAGTACAGTCTTAACCTCCATGGGTAACACTTTACTATACTCTTTTGTAGTTAATAAGTAACTAATCGGGAACTAAGCAGGAACAAATGAGTAATGTTGCATTAACACTTAAGTAACTACTCTTAACTACCAAGGACTACTAGTTAACAACTCAGTAGGCGATAGTGAACTAATGATTAGGGTAGTTCACTATTGACTAAACAATAACTACTGAGTCTCATAGAGAATTATATATTAACTATGGTTTCTTAGAATAAATACTCGTAAATTACTAATCAGTTCAACATTAATTGCTCAGTAACTGAGTCTGATAAGGTCCCTGCTGAACTGCTAACTGATGTAGTGTTCCAACATTTCTAACAGTAGTGAAATACACTACACAGTGTGCAGTCTCTACAATATAATGAATTATATTTTCCATTTTTATTCACAGAAACAGGTATCCTCAGGGAAGCGTGGAGGCATCACACCACACTGTACTGACTGGTGTCCCTCGTGTGTATTTTGATCAGAAACCTTAAAAGGCTAATGTACATCATATTTGGCAGTGGAACCAATTTGCACATCAGCTTAGAAATGGGAAAACTGCTAAAATACTACAGTATTCAGTAGACCAGTCTGCTTACCTCTCATCTTTAGAAAAGAAAACTCCATTCTTTTCTGCTGGAGCAAATGTTTCAGTGTTTCTTCTGAACAGTAGTTCTCCTTTGAAGTCCTCTTGAGGGCAGGGTCAGTTAAAGAGAGGGCTTACGGAACTATCTGACTGTGTGTATGTCCTGCTTTTAAATTCATGTTTGTACATATTACCAATTGAATATGTAATTACTGTCTGATAGATAGTGAATGAGGTTTGCTGTTCTTCATTAGGAGCTAATGATGATCAGGAGCAATATAAAATTAAACAATGGTAACTCGTTATCAATGAACTTGGACTTAATGATGATCAAGAAAAGTATAATGTGAAACACATGGTAACTCATTATTAATGAGCTAGGAGTTAATGATGATCAGGAACAGTATTATAAAGTGAAACACATGGTAACTCACTATTAATGAACTAGGAATTAATGATCATCATGAACAGTATTATAAATTGAACTACATCAGACATAAAATCCCTACATTAAAGATGTACTGTAGTACAAAAATATTAATAAAGAAACTTTGAAAAAGTAAGAGTAAACAAGTTGTTTAAGTCCTTTTTATTTCTGAGCAGTCCAAATGTGAAAACATCCCTGGGTATTAGCTATATCATTGAAAATAATACACCCAAACAAAATCAAATCAAAATCTGTCATTACTACTGAAGGAGTAAGTCTGAGAGCTGAGAATGATCACATGTTGATCATATGTTCTGCTAGTACATTAATTACACATATTTCAGTTTCATATATGAGGCACAAACTTTTACTGCCTATTAGTTTAGCTCATATTTGCTAAATGAACTTGCTAGCTGGCATGCACTCATAACAGAACATCAGCAGAGGCTTTAAGTTAAGTAAAGCACTAAAATGTGCTTATAATTCTGAAACATGGTAAAACAGACATTGTACCAGAAGACCATACCTACTTAGCTCAGATTAGTTAGCGAGTCAGCTAACTGTGTCTGTACATTAGTTCTGCGGTCTGAATAAAACCTTGAATCTGCATCAAAAGTCTCACATTAGCGGCCGAGGGTCTGCCATGAGTCTGATTCATTCATCATACATCAGAAGATACAGCGAGTCAGAATTAAAATATGAACAGCATTATCAAACTAATCCACTGAGAATGCGGGACTAATTGCTCTCCTTTACCAGCACTCGTAAAAACATCACGGGCGCTTAAGAGAAACACCAAAGCAATCATAATAAGTCCTGTGCAACTCTACTGTTAAATGTAAGTTTATTTAATTCAACAGAACGCTAAAATTTTTATTATTTTAAATGTCTCTCTATATATGTATACTCCTACAAAAAAAACTAACAGGAGTTAGACCACAACAAGATTGAGACAAGATTTTTCAGAATTTAAAAATAAAAAGAAAGAAGAGAAAAACCACTGAAAGCACTAAAGGTTTCTTATCATTCATTATACATTATCTATAAATGAATATTTTATTTGAAACACATTTTGTAAAACTAAACATTAAATAATATATAGACTGAAAATATTGTGAAATATTATTATAGTATAATATTAGTCCAATTCTGCATTATAATTTTGATGGTAGATTATTCCCTAATCCTTCTTCTCTACAATCTATTCGGAATCACTTTGTCAAATAAATATAAACCAAACAACATACATCTGTTTGTATTATTAAATGATAACATTCTGATCTGCCCAGTTAAGCCATCATGGGAAGACCAGTTAGACTTTATTTGAAATAAAATATAAAACAAAAGGCTCCTAAAGTCAAATTGTCTCAAGTCAAGTCAAGTGCCAGGTGGTCTTTTTCAAAAAGGCCTGATACAAAAAATGTAGGTAAAAAATTTTCTGTATTTTTCATCCAAGTACTTCAAATATGCACTCATTTAAGTGCATCTTGATCAGTGCTTATTTGCAAGTCGTCTATCATGACAATCCACTACTTCTACTACTGATGATGATGATAATAATAATAATAATAATAATATAAAATAATAATATAAAATAATAATAATTAAATTTTTTGGTCATAAAAGCAGGATGTCATGTTGCATTACACAAGCAAACTGCTTAAATATAATCACAGGAACCATTTGTAGTGATCTACAGACACAAATCCAGACACACATTTAAAATGTGTTAAAATATGTTACACAAATACAGAAGTCAGTCAATGCAGTTAAGACAGAAATAACTCACATTTGCAAATTCATCAGAAACGATTGCTCTCTCCTCCATATTTATCAAACTGAAGCAAAAATGAAACTCTTGGTCAGTGAACAGTATTATGGGATGCCTTTGTTGAGAGGGGTACATGCAACGCTGCCTTCAAATTTGGTAAAAACAGACAGCTGACTTCCAAATGGATCATTTGCTTGTGTGTGCTTGCAATACTGCAACACTAATGTCAGTGACTCAATATATGTGTAATCCTAGCCTCTACACACACTTTAAAAACATGAATGCTGTGATCATAATGTGAATATAGTGTGATATTTGGCTAGCAAGATCTTCAGGCTAATCAGCAGTAACTGAATATAAAATTGCACTGTATTTCACGATATAAGATGTAATAAAGGTTAATTTGATTCAAATTAGTTTCAAATGTTTTACAATACATTTTTGTGCCTTACAAACAGTTCATTGATCACTTGCAGTTATTATGATTATTTGTGTTGCCACAACTTTGGTGTTGATTTGTTTTCCTACATCAGGCAGAAATGCACAGAAGCAGCACAACATACAATGGTGAAGGGAACTGGAATACTCCAGCAGGATTCTTACAAACCACTGGATGATGTCCTGAACAGAGTCTTACAAAGACACAAAACCAACATGAAGTACAAGTACGAGAGCTTATTTGAGGGAATCAAAACAGAAGAGAATAAAATCCTCCTGAACAGGATTTACACACAACTATACATCATAGAGAGAGAGAGTAAAAGAGTGAATGAAGAACATGAGGTTCTACAGATGGAGAAAACACCCTGGAAATACTTAGAAAGTACTCCAATCAACTTCACAGATATATTTAAACATCTACATCAAGTTTCTAAAGGTGAAATGCAAGAGCACATTAGAGCTGTAATGGCTGAAGAGGTCAGACTCAAAAAAACACATAAAAGAGATAAAAGACCAAATGTGCCAGAGCTCAAAACTGTACTAACTAAAGGCATTGCGGGTATTGGCAAGACTGTCTCTGTGCAGAAGTTCATTCTGGACTGGGCTGAAGGAAAAGCCAATCAGGATGTAGATTTCATGTTTGTGCTTCCGTTCCGGGAGCTGAACCTGATTAAAGATGATCAATACAGTCTTCATGGTCTTCTGTGTGACTTCCATCCTGAGCTCAAAGATCTGCACCCAAAGATTTATGATCAGCACAAAGCTGTGTTTATATTTGATGGTGTGGATGAAAGCAGAATTCCACTGAACTTTGAAGAGTGTGAGAAAGTATCTGACATCACCATGACATCATCAGTGGGTGTGTTGATGACAAACCTCATCAAAGGAGAGCTGCTTCCCTCTGCTCTTATCTGGATAACCTCCCGACCAGTGGCAGCCGATCATATCCCTCATCAGTACATCAACCGTGTGACAGAAATTCAGGGATTCAGTGACCCACAGAAGGAGGAGTACTTCAGGAAGAGGATCAGTGATGAAGACCAAGCCAAGAGAATCATCTCCCACATTAAGACTGTGAGGAGCCTCCACATCATGTGCCACATTCCAGTCTTCTGCTGGATCTCAGCCACTGTTCTTCAGAGAATCATGAAACAGCATCATATAGAAATCCCTAAAACTCTGACTGAAATGTACTCACACTTCCTGATCACTCAGACCAACATGAAGAACGAGAAGTATGAGGAGAAAGATGAGAGAGACCCAAAGAACCTGCTGGAGTCCAACAGAAACATTCTTCTGAAACTGGCTGAACTGGCTTTCAAACAGCTGATGAAGGGCAATGTGATGTTCTATGAAGAGGACCTGAGAGAGAGCAGCATTGATGTCACTGAGGCCTCAGTGTATTCTGGGATTTTCACTGAGATCTTTAGGGAGGAATGTGTGCTTTACCAGAGGAAGGTCTACAGCTTTGTTCATCTGAGCTTTCAGGAGTTTCTGGCTGCTGTTTATGTGTTTCACTGCTATGAGAGCAAGAACATGAAGACACTGCAGATACTTAAACCACAGTACAGGGAGTGGTCTGAGAATGTTCCACTGAATGAACTGCTAGAAGGAGCAATAGATAAAGTTTTAAAGTGTGAAAATGGCCACCTGGATCTTTTCCTTCGTTTCCTGTTGGGAACCTCATTGGAGTCCAGTCAGAAACTTCTACAGGGTCTACTGACACCAACACAGTGCAGCTCAAAAAAACCCACAGAGTACATCAAGAAATTAATCAAAGAAGATGATAAACAGTATCAAATCTCAACTGAGAGTTCCATCAATCTGTTCCTCTGTCTGTCTGAAATGAATGACCAATCTCTCTCCAGAGAGATTCAGGAGTATCTAAAATCAGAGAAACACTCAGAGGTGAAGCTCTCTCCTGGACAGTGTTCAGCAATAGCCTGCATGCTTCTGACCTCAGAGGAGGTTCTGGATGAGCTGGACCTGAAGAAATACAACACCTCAGAGGAGGGCTATAGGAGACTCATCCCAGCTGTGACTGTCTGCAGAAAAGCTATGTAAGCATATACTTTCATTAATATAATTATATTTGAATTTTGATAGTTGAAAAGTGTTAGTACACTTCCTTTTTACTTAATTAGAAACTCTTTTTTTTTTTGTTGTTGTTTTTGTCCTTCATTGTTGTTGTACAGTTAGAGGCTGCAGCCCATCTGCTGTTCTGTAAGGAGCAAACTTCAATATATTTCTACAGAGTTTATTGCACAATTATTTGCTTGCTTTTGACATATTGGAAAAAATAAAACAAAGTATGAAACATCCATTAAATTTGACACCCTTCCAGTTGATCTACCAGTGTTATTTGTAAGGCTTCTGAGTTTATTTAACTCACGAATGATTAATCCAATTCAAAACTAGTCTTTAGGCAAGACTCCATTTCCCAGCATTAGCAAGGGAGAATGCACTTCCTCAGGTAGAATGTGTGTGTGTGTGTTGCTGTGTCTGATCCACTCGTACCAGCACAACACACACTAACATGCCACCACCACATCAGTGTTACTGCAGTGCTGAGAATGATCCACTACCCAAATAGTACCTGCTCTGTGAGGGTCCATGGGGGTCCTGACCACTGAAGAACAGGGTAAAGGGGGATAACAAAGTATGCAGAGAAACAGATGGACTACAGTCTGTAACTGTAGAACTACAAAGTGCACCTATATAGTAAGTGGAGCTGATAAAATGGACAATAAGTGTAGCGTAGAAAAAAGGAGGTGGTCATAATGTTATGCCTGATATGTATGTGTATGTATATACACACATTATTTAGTGTATGTGTGTGTGTGTGTGTGTGTGTGTGTGTGTATGTATGTTTGTATGTATGTGTATATATGTGTATATATACATTTCACTCAGTCTTTCCTCTAAATGTCTGAGACAAGTTAACATTATCACAACCAGCAACCCTCTACAGTCCTAGTTTGCACTATTTGACAAACAAGTGTATTTGATGATTTAGCCTTTATTAAGGCCTGATGAAAATGATAATTGTGTCCTTTTACTGTAAATAAATTGAAAAACATGATAAGAATTTGCATTGATGCACCAAATATTACGATTATTAATTTGCTGTAAGTCTATGCTCCAATGTTTTTTTATTTAAAAAAATAATAATGCCAAACATATCTGATAAAAAATAAATACACCGGTCTTTATTTTATGCAACGTAAACAAAAGATAAAAATGTGTTTTTGTTTTACACCAATTAGATCGTAAAACTTAAAAGATGTTGGTCAATAGATTTTAAAGATTTTAAATATGGGGAAAAGCATAATGTTGTCTATATATATCAGAAACCAAGAAACATAAAGAATAATTTTCATTTGTATTATAGCACCTTGATTGTGAGATCCACAGAGATCCCACCCACCTTTTTTCATTTGCCCACTTGACCGCCCACATCCTTATTGTAATGGTTTATCTCTCATTAAATATAAAGTAAAAAGTGAAACTTTTCACATAAAGGCGATTTGTTTTGTGACACCTCATCTTGTATCTACTGTTTTAATTGTAAAATGTTCTGTGTTTATTATTTCTTTCAGTCTAGCTGGTTGTAATCTCACTTTGGACTCCTGTAAAACTCTCTGCACTGCTCTACAAACAGCAGACTGCCACCTGAAAGTTCTGGTCCTTAGTAACAATGATCTGCAGGATATAAAAGTGGAGCTGCTTGCTGCTGCACTGAAAAGTTCCCACTGTAAACTGGAGACACTCAGGTAAAATTTCTCTGAATTCATTCATCTGCAGCTTACCCAGAGAAGTTTGCCTCAGCTCAGCCTGTATTAAGCCACAGCCTGTTATGACCATTCAGCTGCAGAAAAATCTGCGAAACTTGCCATCTTTCGGAGAGGCTGACCCAAACCAGCTGAGGTTCACTGTATTCATTTTTTCAGGTCGGGTTTTTGAGGTGCTTCTGGGGTAACTTCCCTTGTGGCCCTGCTGTGACTCTCACCAGCACACAGATTAGTGGCTCTTATTTTGTCTACAGACAGGTAGTAAGGGGACCAAGTTCTGTTGCATGATTCAGTCTTGATGCTGTGTTATGGATCCTTCTTTCAGTTTGGTTTATTTAAATCTAGATCAGAATTTACCCACAGCTACACTGTTATCCTTTTGATGATGCTCATTTCCCAATTAAATTATCATCACCACCAAGCTGCTCCCAGGCCAACCTGGAGATATAATCCCTTCAGCGCGTCCTAGGACGTACCAGGCCGTGCCAGGTACACCCCCACCAGGAGGCATCCAGTATTCGCAACTTCATTCTTTCGGTCATTACCCATAGCTCATGACCATAGGTGAGGGTCAGTATGTAGACCGACTGGTAAACAGAGCCTTATGGCTCAGCTCCCTCTTAACCACTACAATCCGGTACATTGACCGCATTACTGCTGCCACCTGACCCAGTCTGCAGTCAATCTCACAATCCCTCTTCCCATCACTCGTGATCAAGACCCCAAGATACTTAAACTCCTCCACCTGGGGCAAGTCCTTGCCCCTTACGTGGAGAAGGCATACCATCCCTTTCTTGGCTAAGACCATGGACTCAGACTTGGAGGTGCTGATCCGCATATCAACCGCTTCACACTCAGCTGGAGGCATCCATGTGATCCAGCCAAAAGAACAACATCGTCTGCAAATAGCAGAGACGCCACCCTCCGGCCTCCACACATAATGCCCTACTGACCACGGCTATGCCGTGACAACCTGCTGATCCATTGTTCCATGGCTGGGACGGAATCCGCATTGTTGCTCCTCAATCTGAGGTTCAACTATCGGTCGAAGTCTCCTTTCTATCACCTTGGCATAGACTTTCCCAGGGAGGCTGAGCAGTGTGATACTCCGATAGTTGGCACACACCCTCCGGTCCCCTTTCTTAAAAATAGGGACCACCACCCCAGTCTACCAGTCCAAGGGTACTGTTCCCGAGGTCCATGCAATATTGCAGAGGCATGCCAGCCCTTCCTGGATCGGGGCCTTGTTGAGGCGGAAGGGCTTGTGTGGCCATGAAATTAGTTCCCTCTAATGCTCTGCTAATTATAGAAACCTATTTCATCAATTGAATGTCATGTTCCTGGTTTCTCGATGCATATCTATTAATCAAATCTATCATTTAATGTCTTATTGACTTTATTAATATCCAGCCAATATAAGCCTTTATTAAGGTTATCGTTTGTTTGCGTGTTTGCAACGTAATTATTATTTCCAGTGACAGTCACTGACCATAGAAAGATCCTGGCCTGGTTTAAAATTAAATGTAAGTTATGTTTATGTTAAATAAATGTAAAATAAATGAATTAAGTATCATAACTTGTTACTCTGTGAAGAAGCAATTGACCAGAGCAAATTTTATGTTCAATTCAGAAGTGGGGTTTTGTACGATTTGTTATTGGAACGTAAAGTAAATTCCAAAAGCTGATTTGATGAGGTAGGTCAGATATCATAGATGTCTTAGAAAACCCTAAAAAATCCTAGATGCTGAGACAATGTGGTAGAAAAGAGTAGAAAACAAAATAAAATTTGAGAACTTACATTTTCCTAAATTTCAGTCACTGCTTATCCCAATGTAAGTTATCCTAACATGAATAGAATAAATGTAGGTGAAACATATATTATTTAAAAAATATTATGTATTACAATATAAAAAACTGTAAAATTTGAAAGGGAACTCATCAAAATTAGAGAACGCTTTGGGATACTTCTCAGATATTAGCGCTAATCTGGTATCTGTTGCTAATTCCCTTAATTATCTGACAGAAATAAAAAAATAGTAATTTTGGAGAATGATAAGTATAATAAACAGAGGCCTGGCAGTAGTAATTGTAATTAGTAATTGCCACCATTTATCTGGTAACATTTGTAATCATTTTGCAAGATAGTGAGCAATCGCAAAGTGACAAACCATATGACAGCAGGTTGTTCTGATGAAGCTGAAGGGATGACCCTTTCAGCCATTGCAATAGAAGTTTGTCATTCCAAGTGTGTGATTTCTAGAATATTAAAGCTTTTCAATTACACTAATACATTTAAGTCCCCACAAATGTTGGTTGTCCGCGTAAGACAAATGCACAAGTGAACAGGATGATACGTAGAATTGGTTCAACACTGCAGCAGAAATTGCTCGCCAATTCAGTGTTAAATGCTGTAAGGTTCTGACTCGGTATACAGTGTCTCACATGACAAGCCCTCACAGACAATGCTCTTTGTCACACTGCAAAAAAGGGTAAAGCACTCTCCAGAAGCTTAGAACATTGGAATAATGAAATGACCATCCCAGCGTGACAAGGTTATGGCTAAAAAACCCTCTACAGTTACTAAAGAGACTGGAAGAAGGGTGAAGGTTGATCAAAACAGAGCAGTGTAAGAAATTGGTCATGTCCTTTAGGCTCAAATGTACTGAAGTCATTCAAAGCAAAAGTCTCTACACTTCCTACTAATTTTTGAAAACAGTCAAATTTAATTTGTAAGCTTCTTTTCTGTTACAATGGTTAATGTTCTCCAGTTTTGATTTCCCCGATTAAACTGTACTGTATTTACTGTTTTTGTAGACTATCTGGCTGTGGTCTTTCTACAAACTCCTGTAAAGAAATAGCATCAACTCTACAGTCAGTAAACTCCTCCCTGAAAGGACTGGACCTGAGTAACAATGAGTTGCAGGATTCAGGAGTGCACCTGCTTTCTGCTGGACTGAAAAGCTCACACTGTAAACTGGATATACTCAGGTGAACTTTCCGTAAATTCATTTCTGAATGGGAACAAGTGATGCTGAGAACAATAAACCAAGAACAGTAAAATTGGAATATTAACAGCATTTCTTAGGATTTTGTGTGATTTTAAAATTTGATTGTATCTACCACATTAATCACAAAGTATTACAACAAAAACAAATTAATTTCTTGTTGTCTAAACACCATGACACTTTTCCTAATATTACATTCAAAAAATAAGCAAATTTACAAGATGTGTTATATTTTCTCTCCTACTGCAGACTACATCTCTGTAATCTTGGGGAAAGTGCTTGTGAAAATCTTGGTTCAGCTCTACAGTCAGCAAACACATGCTTGAAAGAACTGGACATCACTAACAATGACTTGCAAGATTCAGGAGTGGAGATGCTCTCTGCTGGACTGAAGAGTTCACACTATTTGGAGATACTCAGGTAAACTTTTGAGTAGGACCTAAACAAACAGCAGGCAACCCATTATGTACCAGAACAATCGGCCATAATACAGAAACGTCCTAAGTTCAGACCTGACAAGATCAACATATGTTTCATAGATTTACATTACAGAATCAAATCTCTATTTTGGAATTATCTTAGAGAAGATTCTTGTCCTAAACTAAATTCTAAACTACATGATCAAGGTTGATAATCGGTTGTTATGTCTGTTACCAGGCAACACACAATAAGCACACAACTGAAGCATAAATAAGTAATCCAAATAACTATAAAAATGTTAGCTAGACAGCTTTAGTTACTAATGTAAAATGTCAAAACCAAACTAAATTAACTGGAATTCAAACTCGAAGTTAATAATGTTAAGACAGCACCAGTGCTGCTTATCAGGGCATTGCCCTCTCAAGCTCCAGTTTCCATTTTTCCAATTTAGGACACCACTGGGGTTTATCTTATAATAAGGAATGTATTTAGGATTTTTTTATTTAAGATGCAAACTGTTTTATAATTTGTAGTTAAGATAAGAATGAATTTAGGAACTGTTATTCTGTAATGACTACTGAAGTTGCCATGGTGACTGAATAGATACGATTTCAGAGCTAGGATGTTTCTGTAATACAGCCCCAGTATCAGAATCATATCACTTTCACAAATACAAGGAATTTTTCTTTGTGAATGCACATATGTAAATGTAGCATATTGAACAGACCTGACAAGTGCAGAGTAGTAACAAATTAAGTAATACAAGAAAAAAGAACACAGAATAAGTAAAAGCAGGAACATACATACATAAACATACATAATGAAAGCCAACATAAAAGGATCTAAAAAGATTAATATGTTAATGTGTACATATTTATAGTATAAAGAGGCATAATACAATTACAGAAAAAGTAATAGTGGGTAAAATGCAAATAAAAACAGAAACCAGTGATTTGTAAACAGCACAAATAAGAGAGATTTAATATTTACCTTATTAACTTTTATTCTTACAACTATTAGTTTTTATAAATATGCCCCAATTCCAAATTGATGCTTGGAACACATCGGCAAAGTAAGACTGTGAAGATTGGATTATCAAACACATTTTTGTAACTTTCCTCAGGTAAACAGGTGAATAGATTACAGGTGATGCCATCATGATCGGGTATAAAAGGAGCACTCATGACTCAGTCATGTTAAAGAACAATATTTCTCAATGCATGATTACAAGTAATTTAGAAATTACCATCTACAGTCCATAACATTATTGAAAAAAATCAAAGAAACTGGTGAAAGTTCTATGCATAAAGGGCAAGACTGAAAACCAATATTGAATGTCTGTGACTTTTGATCCCTCAGATAGCAATACTTTGAAAACTGACATGCTTCTGTAATACATATAACCACATGGCTTGGGAATATATCAGAAAATCCTTGTCAATAAACACGAAGTGCAAAGTGGAAACATGCTGTGACCAGTCTACATTTCAAATTGTTTTTGGAAATAACATACATTTTCCAAAGAGCACATTTTGGAGCAACATATCCTGCCATCTAGAAAACATCTTTTTCAGGGACATCCCTGCTTGTTTCAGAAAGGCATATCAAGCCACACTATGCATTTGTTACAGCAGCGTGTTTTCATAGTAAGAGAGTGCGGGTGCAGTCCAGGCGTGGCTATCATTGAAAACGTGGTGCATTATGAAGGGCAATATACAATTGTTATATCACACTAGAATGGGCAAAATTATATACAAAATCGTATACATACAAAAAGACAATAGTTAGAAAAAAAGTTTTTTTTTCTATTAAACTTAATTAAATTGAAAAATTGCTGTTTTCATTTACATTTTGTTTTTACTTATATTTTACATAACTGTCTCACCCTTTTTGCAATTGGGTTTGTAGTTGCACTCTCAATGGACTTTGGGCCGGCAATGAGAGGCTTAGCCACTAGCTTCAGTCTTTGGTTTTGCCTGGGATTTATGTGTAAAAGACCATGGCATAATTTTACATTTAAATGTGAGATGGAATAAGTTGTTTTGTATTTTTCATATCCTGGAACAGAGAAAATATGCTTCACTGAAATTAAGAAGATCAATGTGCAACTAAATATTACTTTAGTTTATTTAATAACCCTGATTTCACAACATAAATGAAATGTAATTAGAGTAGGGCTACAGCAAATGTCCTACAGCACATTTTATGGAGAAGTACTGATCTAAACAAGCTGAGTGCAGTGTGGCATTAAGTAGTGAACATGGAAAAAAAAACTAGGATGAGTGGGTCACAAGGAAGCTGGACCAGTGCATTTATTTTTTTTTGCTTTTCACAAGAGCAGAGATAAGTGAAGGGCATTTTATGTTAGAAAAGGGAACAACTGTTTTTGCTCCAGTGCTGTTTCATTTTTGCTTGTACTACAACAGAAGGGCTGTGATGTCCTCACAGCTAGAAACCTGTACAAAATGTTCCTGTTTGTCTTTGTTTGACTGGCTATTTCTTGACAGTGCATCATTTATTGCTATGCCTAAAAAAAAGTGTTCACAGTACATAGATTTCATATGGTATGGTTTGCTACTTTGGTGTTTTAAAGTAGCGGCCCAATATGTAGAATTTTGAGAACATGATGAGTGACCAAGATACTAAGAGTAAAAAAAAGCTTTTACCATGTAGATATCCCTTTCTTTGCATTTAACTAAACAAAAAGAGCATATCTGTTATTATTTTATAAATTGATCAACATTATACGGCATCATGGAAAAATTTAAGGGGCAAAATTTTTTTTACGATTTTTTTCTCCATCTCCCCCTACTTTCAATTATGTCCAACCTTGCCTTCTCACTAACTTGGTCTCCCCTAACAAACTGCTGCAAGTTGTTGGACCAGTTTGTCACCCCTGCGACAGTGGTGTAATTAGCGCACAATGTCTTAAAACAGGCCTAGCAGAACAGGATGGGCTTAATATAGCAAACTCATTACAATATGCTTAGATTGGCTCTGATCCCAAATTTTCCAATCAGGGTGGGACATACCCAGCTGCTTCATTATCAGACTGGTGACATTTTATGCCTGTTCATTGCTTCTTTGCCCATAAATTCACTATACAATGATGGTTACTTGGCTTATTCTCATTGTGGATCTGTGTGCTGTGTTCAGTATTGAGTATAATGTATCAATAATTTATAAAATAATGATAAGAAGCCTCTTTCTAATTCGTTATAATGGCAGTAACATTTTTCAATTCATTCAAACATTAAAGTTCAAAATTGTATTTTCTCCACACATTTAAAACTTAAATTGCTGAAATTTCTTGAATGTCTTTTTCAGCCTATAATTCTTTATCTCAGAAATTCAGGTTACACGTGTAAAAATCAAATTTCTCCTAGCACATATTTCAATTTGCACATGTAAAAATTTAAATTCCACCAGTAAATATTACATTTTCACTAGTAGTTTCTAGTGAATTCAGTTTTAAGTAGTAAGAAATTAATTTTCAGTAGTAAAAATTTTATTTTCCCATGTGTAAATTAAATTATTTTGTAAAATTCATTGTTAATTGAAAGACAGGATTGAAAGCTAAAACTGTTTGTATCAAAATAAATTTAAACATGTTATTTAGAATCTCAATGTTAAATTACTCATCACTTACTTAGATTACAATCTGAACCTACATTTCACAAAGGGGGGTATTTGCAAAATATGTAATTAGATGCAGGAAGTGGCCTTTAAGTTCGCTACCAGTTAAATATGCTGATCTGAAATTCTACTCAAGCAAATCCGCTTTCTCCTCATGCAGTTCTACAACAGCATTTACAAGCTTTGTCGTGCTGCTCCATGCAAACACTTGAAACCAAGTCTTTTAAAGACCATGTTTTTTGCTGTATGTAAATGCCACTTGTTCCTCTTGTTGTTTTCTTTGTGCAGACTGTCTGGTTGTATGGTTACAGATGAAGGCTGTTCTTCTCTGGCTTCAGCTCTGAAATCAAACCCCTCCCACCTGAGAGAACTGGATCTGAGCTATAATCACCCAGGAGAGGCTGGATTGAAGCTGCTTTCTGATTTATTGGAGGATCCACACTGCACACTGGAGAAACTACAGTGAGTTGCTGACTTTTCCTCTGTTTCTGAACAATAAATAGTAAAAAACACAAATTTAGAATTAACCGTTTATTTAGCACACTACACTTTTAGCCAACCATCAATGATGGTGCAAAATTTCCAAAAGGAAAAGGAAGGAATATAAATTCAGGGAGACCCAAGACTCAAAGTAACAACATCCTAGAAAAAAATCTATGAAATAAATAAAATAAACACACTACTCAAGTCAAGTCAAGACAGGTCAAACAAAAAGGGCAGGCCACTCTTACATTCCCTATATTTTAAAAAGTACATACAAAAAAATTAAAGGTATTTTTCACTGGTCCACATGTGCATGCAGGCCAGTAAATCACAATAAACAATTCTTTACACACTAACAAATAAAGGAAGTGGTCTGTTGACTGGCAGGCAGCAAGTGGAGTGGAGTGGAGTGGAGCAGAACAGTGCTGGGCTGAATCAAAAACCACTCGCTATTAATGAGCAGAAAGGGCCATTTATAGGCAGCACCAACTGGAACTCCAAAGCAAATGGCAGTCATACAGCAGTCATACAGCAACACCAACCTGGAAACACACAAACACAGAAAGACAAAGAAAACCAAACATGGGAGATAACACCCCCAGCACCAAGAAAATCAGCGTCTCATGTTTGTTGAAACAATACGTTGTATGTTTGGTGTCAGAGGGGAACCATCATGGCCCTCTACGCCCTCAAAGGGGGCTAAGATATTGAAATAAAATTGAGCACTTTTAATATCTATTCATATTTTGACAATCAACATCTAAACAAATACAAATCTAAACAAATAAATCATTCAAACCTTAGTATTCAATTGGGATGTGAAGAATTTTGACGCCTCTGCTGTTGCTGGAAAGAATGTTGGTGATTGTAAGTCCAGCTATAAATTTACAGAGGGCCAAGCAATAGTAATTCAATGAAACCAATTTCAAATGACAGTAAAATTGACCAGTCATATCTTCCCTCTAAATGGGTGGACTTTATCACTAATAAGTTCCACCTGCTCTGGGAACACGAAGCTAGCAATTAAAAGCTAGCTAGGTTGTTGGTTAATGATGGAGGCTGAGAGTAGTGTTACCACTAGTGGAGGACATTGCTGAGAATTTATTATTCCTGTTGTTTTCTAGATGAGTTAATCAGCATAAGACAACCTACACCAGAGCTTAATTTGGTTTAAGTTTTGAGAGGCATTTCAACTCCAGCAGTTACACCACAATACCCCTGGATGACAGGATCGACTAAGGAGCAAAAGTTCTACTGCTGGGACTGCTCGCTATTTGGCGTGGAAAGTGGGACTTGTGCCAACGATGGATTTTGTGATTTGGAAAGTTTATCCAGGTCAGCACATCGCCATCAAAATGCTTGAGAAGCAATTGTTGATAATCTAAAAGGAAATGATCAGTTGCATGACATTGTCAGAAACCACTTCTTCCAAAAGGACAGGAGGAGTATGGACTTTGTCATGACTTTGTTTGTGACAAAGACAGGAAGAAACACTCTAAGTGTTTGGGAACTGAGGAGACCAATTGTTGTAGTTTTGAAAGTGAAATGTTTTCCTGTTCTTGCTTGATATAGGTTTTCACCTGCTCAACAATTTCCTTTGTCATATTTTCAATTTTATAAAGTGCCAAATGTTTTCAGTGGGTGACAGGTCTGGACTGAAGGAAGGCCAGCTTACAACCCTAACTCTTTTTTTGAAGATGGTGCCAGTTCACTTTGAGCTTTTTTTCTGACTTTTTGTAATTTTCTCCATTCCTTTTTAAGTCTTTATACTTCTTGATTGTTTGCCAAGAGTTTTTGCACTATGGACACCAAACTTGTAGAGTTTGCCCTGGTCCTCGCTCTACTTTTTTTTGTTCTCTGTTTACAATCACGTCTAAAAATTCTGTATGAAGCCCTATTGTTTACAGTAGGGATCAGCTGTTAGCGCTAGGCAACACAGCGGTGCTGTCGGATGAGAGACCCAAACCCCCCCCCCGGGCTGAAGAGGAACAAATGGGGGAGTCGTGCTTGCTTAAATAAGCAAGGTCTTCCAAGACATCGTCTGGATGGCATCATATGTTGCCAAAACCTGTATATATCGTTCAGCATTAATGGTGCCTTCACAGATGTGCAAGACACCCATGCCATGTCGTCCAATGCACACCTATACCATCACCGATACTGGCTTTTAAGCTGTGTGCTAATAACAAGCCGGGAGGATGTAGTGTCCATGATTTATAAAAAGAATTTAAAATTTTGTCGGACCTTTTCACTTTTCCACACTTTTCCACTCAATCCATCTCTGTGTTCACAGACAATGGTTTTTAGAAGTGTTCCTGAGCCAGTTTCCTGAGCCAGTTTAATCAGGTCCAGACTGAGCCCAACAGGACCCAGGCCCCTGAGTCATTCTGATGTCAGACCAAATCAAACCTTTAGCTTCTGTGGCAGTACTGACAAGAGTCCCAAGCCAGATCCGCTGACACTTAGACTGCGGACAGTTTTGCTTTAAAATTCAAGACCCATGACATCAGGGCACCAGATCACAAGACCCCAGCACTTTGCCTTTGGAGAACCAAACTGGGACAAGAGCACCGAGGCCCTGGACCCAGGGTGCAGGACTCCAGCACGAGTTTCGAACCAGGATCTAAAAATCTTTGTTACCAAATTCCAGTCCCAGCAAAAACACCAGCTCCTAAGCTTTAAGATGTAGGCTCCATGTCTGGGTTTTGGTGCTTACCTTTTGAGCCCATCTTCCTCTGGCCATAGGAGATGCTCGCAGTAAGGTAATGGGTTAATGCTTGGCTAGATTATAATTGTGGACTTTAGGCAAGCAAGTTTGGGTTTTAACTCCCAAACTCTACTCCCAAGTTTTAAAAGCACAAGCTTGGGCTATGGTGTCCTCTTGACTTGGGCAGAGCCAATGCTCATGTGGCATGAGGCAAATTGAGTTTTATTTTTTAAGTCTTAGATGTCACGTCTTAAGGCTGAGAGACTGGGTATGGAGCTATTGCTGGTACCCTTGCCATTAGGTTCTAGGCCTTACAGCAAACATTTCAAAGCACAGGGGCAAGGGTTAGGGCCAAGGCTTGGGCTGGCGCCATGGACTTTTTCCTTAAATCTCACAGCCCACATCTTTAGGTTCTGGCCAAGCACTTATACATGTTAACCTGAGTGGTCACTGAACATCTACAAATACAAACTTGGACCCTCCAAATAAAGTGAAAAACAAATCAATTCAGCAGATTATAAACTAATTTTATTTATGCAGTTACTTAAAATCTTTTGATAATCTACTGAATGTATTCAGATGATTCACTGCTGCTACATCATTGCTATGCTGTTGATATGTAACAGAGAATCTGTTGAGTGTTTATTTCATCTACAAAGGATCACTCAAAATATCACACACATAATACATTCTAAATAATGTAATATGATAGTACAAATGATTAACTTTAAAGTAATACACAGATACATTATCTGTGCCACTGGGTTGCAGGGGGTGCTGGAGCCTGTCCCAGCAGTCATTGGCCAAAAGGCAGGAAACAGCCTGGACAGGCCGCCAGTCCTTTGGAGGGCAGACACACAGACATACACATTCACACACTCTCACACCTAGGAGCAATTTAGCGTTGAAAATTTAATACATTTCCAATAATGTAATAAGGTATTATGTAATTGGCAAAAGTGTTATCAGAAGATTGGCTAAGACATTCTATTACATTATTAGACAACTTACTACATTATTGAGTTTTATTACATTTTTGACTGAGTTATGTGCAAAATTGTTACATATTTGGGGTCATTGCATTATGAGAAAATTATTACAAGATTAAGCGCTATAATCCTGCTCAAATTGTCAATAACTAGCACAAAACCATTAAAGTAGTTAACAAAGGGTGTGCATGTCTTTCTTTAGGGTGGAGCATGGAGGGGACATCAGGATGAAACCAGGACTGAAGAAATGTAAGTTCACAGTAATGTTCACACACGTACACACACATTGTTTGTGTGTTCTCCTCTAATCTGTGTTTTTGTGTTTGCAGATTCCTGTGATCTCACTCTGAACCCAAACACAGCACACAGAGATGTCATTCTGTCAGAGAAGTATAGAAAGGCAACACGTGTGAGAGAGAGGCAGCCGCATCCGGATCATCCCGAGAGATTTAAACGTTGTACACAGGTTCTGTGTACAAAAAGTCTGACAGGGCGCTGTTACTGGGAGGTGGAGTGCAGTGGATATGGGGCTGCTATAGCAGTGACCTACAAAGGGATTGGCAGGGAAGGGCGCAGTGTTGACTGCTGGTTAGGATACAATAAACAGTCCTGGAGCCTGTACTGCTCTGGTAACAGTTACACTGTCTGGCACAATAATAAAGAAACTGTGCTACCTGACCCCCCATGCCCCTCTAACAGAGTAGGAGTGTATCTGGACTGGCGGTCCGGCACTCTGTCATTCTACACTGTCTCACCTAACACACACACACTGACCCACCTACACACATTCATCACCACATTCACTGAACCACTCTATGCTGGATTCTGGGTTAGTGATGAATCCTCAGTGTGTATATGTGAGAAATAAAAAAGACTATTGAGTTGAGGAGGAAAACCAGGAGCACTTAAAACACCAACATGACAGTCTCATCTGTTTTGGGTCTCTTTTGTGTTTTGTTTTATTTTATTTTATTTTATTTTTTGGTCAAACTTTTTCCACTGTGATCAGACCAAACAGCATTGAGATTGAAAAAGCACACAAAGCTTTGTAACTCTAAACATACTCTACCACTCTAACATTATTTCTCTCTCCATCTCTCTTTGTCCAGCACCGTAACTGTCTCTTTCTCCATCAGTCTAACTCTCTCCATCACTCTAACTCTCTCTCCATCACCCTCTTTCTTTCTCCATCAGTCTCACTCTCTCTATCACTCTCTCTTTCCATCACTCTAACTCTCTCTATCTCCATCAATCTAACTTTCTCCATCACTCTAACACTCTCCATCACAGTGTATAATAGTGTAACAGTGTAAAACAACTATAGGCGGTTGTCCTATAAAAATAGTTACCTAGGTTTTTTTGGGATCTGAGGCAGAACGTTGACTTTTACTCCCAGAACAGGATTCCAAACCATTCCAGTCTTTTTTTTTTCCCATGTTATGTATGTAATGTATTTTTTAAGGGCTAATATATACTGTAGGGACCTTTTTAAACCTTTTATTGTCTTAAAAAGAGAAACAGCACTCCCTGAGTGTTTTATTTTTAACTTCTAATTCATTTGAATAAATGTATGTGTGTGTGTGTGTGTGTACATCAAGTTGTTTTGAACAGTGTTTGATGTTTTGTTAACTGTTTTGTTACCACACGTGCTTAAAACGGTGTGGGTGTGTGTGTTGTTTTTTGTGATTTATTGAGTTTTCACTTAATTATGTAGCTATACTAATGGGATATTAGGGTTTAGAAGGACGGAGCTGATGTCCTCATGATTCAGACGCTAAAGGAGCTCATGTCCAAATGGGAGAGGATCCAGCTCAAATTGTTCTTGTATGGCATAAAATTATGAAAATCTGTTAACAGAGGGTGTGTATGTGCCTCTTCAAGGTGGAACATGGACCAACTGTCTCTTTAAATGTAAATCTGTAGATGAAAGCTGGATATTTTATTTTTGTATTTTACTTTATCTTTTTTATAATGCAGACATAGATGCTGCACACAAAAGCAGTGTAACGTTAAATAAAGTATCAAAACACATGCTTTCAAAGACTTATGTGCATTGGAATGTATGTTTGCATGTGCATGTATGTGTGAGAAAGACAGAGATTCTTGTTTATCAGCTTGATTTTCATTGGAAAAAAAGTTGTTTTTCAAACTTTCTTGAGAAAAAAATTGCCTATAGTTTAGACATGACTGAGTAAAGGTACGATATAACATTTTAGATATTGACTCAGTAGACCTGCTTTGAGTGGATAATTTATTGTGAATATCATCTCTGCTAAATTCATTGTCAGCCATTATTGTTCTGAGTTGACTCTTTTGGATGTTAGGATACATTAATCAGGTGATGGTATAAAGTGAATAGTGCTATCTGTTTTATAGTGAGTCATAGTTAAAGTGTACAGTTTTGATAGTGTCAGCCTACATTGAATCCTTATCAGATATGTCAATGGATACCCAGATTTAATTGCTCTTACTGCTTTCAAATTGTTTTTCGGTACTGCCCTGCTCTGCTCAGAAAATGTCTGACCTCATTATCTTCCTCCTTTATCAGAAATTTGGCCAACATGCATTCAGCCATTTAGAAGCATGCTATAGGGCTACCAGAGGCATGCCAAGGTGATCAACAGCATCCACGTCAACATATTCTAGCTAACTGCATACCTTTACAAGCTGACCTTCATTTGTCCAAATGTGATGAAAATTTTACACATACATACATCATCTAAACCGCTTATCCTTCTGGGTCGTGGTGGGGTGCTGGAGCCTATCCCAGCTGTCATTGGGCGGAAGGCAGGATACACCCTGGACAGGTTGCCAGTCCATCGCAGGGCAGACAGACAGACATACACATTCACACACACACACCTAGGGGCAATTTTTAGCGTGTCCAATTAGCCTGACTGCATGTCTTTGGACTGTGGGAGGAAACCAGAATACCCGGAGGATTTATAACAAAATCTAAATAAAATTATATTTTGCCAAATTAAACCTGCAGCAGATTATTTATGGTAGCTCCATAACGCAGTGATAGTCCAGAAGAGATTCTGCTAAAGCGCATTTAAATATTAAAAATTTCAAAATAATACTAAAATACTTTGGAGATATTTGTCTGCGTGTGACAACATCCTTCAGATTTTTTTTCTCTTACTGTCTTTCACTTTCTGTCTCTTCCTACACTCTGTTCAGTTAAGTGAAAGTGAAACTTACCCCTTCATGTTTATCCTGCAGTTCTGAGCGACTGTGAGTCGGTGTTTATTATATTTGTGTTTGCAGTCTTGTCATTCTTATATCTGTGCTGAGTATCTTTAACTTTGAGTCAGTGAAAAGAAAGGCGTTTTTAAACACACTTGTTTTGTTCTTTCACATACAGAACCAGGAACTTCTTTCTGTTCGAGCTGCGGAACAAGACATTAGTGTTCTTCCCTTGTGTAATTTCTGTAAAATGACAGAATCCAGTATTTCAGTAGACGAGATCAGTCAGCGCTCATATGCCGTGAACTTGCTGATGATCCAGTGTGACCATCTCATGTGGACACAACTTCTGTACAGCTGTGTATTAAGAGCTGCTGGATATTATGAAGAGCTCTGAAAGGTGTCTACAGCTGCCCTCAGTGCAGCTGCCTTCACTCCAGAGGCCCGTTGTGGTAAAACAACATGCTGGCTAGAGGTGGTGGAGAGAAAACTGAAGACGTTACACCAAGCTACTTCTACTGCTCACTGTCCTGCTGGACTGAGAGTGGAGTGTGATTTCTGTACTGGGAGAAAACTCAAAGCCTCAATCCTGCCTGGTGTGTCGAGCCTCTTACTGTGAAACTCACGCTCAGTCTCACTATGCATCTCTGCACTTTACGAATCACAAGCTGGTTCACAAGTGTCCAGACGACATACAGGAGCAAATCTGTTGCTGAGCAGCGTAGATAAACTTAACTAGAGGTTTACTGTCGCACTGACCAGCGGTGTATCTGCATGCTGTGTACCATGGATGGCCATAAAGGACACAATACAGTATCAGGTGCAGCAGAAAGAGCTGAAAAACAGGTAAAATATACTTTAACCTTCTTCTGCAAACACTCATTTGTATGTGTGTGGTTGTGTCTACTACGTTTGCCATCCTTTTATTGAGTTAAAGCTTTTCAATATAATTTTTCTCCAAAAATGAAAGTAAAATCACAATATACAATGTAGTCTATTTTGTGTTTATTTACCCACCATGCAATTATCAATATTAAAAGAAATCAGTTCAGCTTTTAGATCATCCATAAGACTTTGGGCTCACTCATTCGACATGTGGGCTTGTACTGTCATCCCCCACCCCGCCCAAGCATATGACCTAGGTGGTGGCTCATGTGACCTATTTGATTAGTTTGAATTTACTTGTACTTTCAGTTTGTTAGTTTAGACTGTGGAACTGATGTTATCTCTCCCCATTCTTACTCTAATCTCCTGGGAGAGAAAACAAGGTAGAATGTGCACACACCTACATTCCTCCTGTAGGTGATTCTGAATGTCTTTGAAACATTTGATTAAAGCAGTTATTCTCAAACTGGTCCTCAGGGACCCCCAGATGGTCCACATATTCACAGCAACACAACTCATAATGCATAAGAATAGAGCAAAAATGTCAATCCTTTAAAAAAACACAAATTTCACATCAATCAACTCATGGTTTTAGACACATTGTATGTCACATACATGTCAAAAACCATGAATACATGCAAACGTTACATTACAGATTTTTCACATGATGTTACACATGTTTATTGTGATTCTTATTTTTTGTTGTTTGTTTTTGTAAAGACCCTACTGTACTTTTTTTGTCTATGTTTTCCAAGGACAGATTAATTCAACCAGTATTCACTGCTTGTTGCTACTGTTTGTATTTATTGGGTTCTGTGTATCTGTGTTTACAATACTTTTTGGCCTATGTGCCCATAAGCTTTCTATTAGCAATCTGAATCTGAAAATAAAATGCAGCAGTAAAGTTACAACGTGAGTGCACTAAACATGTTTTACCATGAAAACCATGAAGCACATTAACAACACTGGGCATTTTTTTAAGAATCAGTTAGTGGAGACCCAGAGAAAATTCCAGCAGAAAATCCAGGAAAAAGAGAAGGAACTTCAAGAGCTAAAGAAAGCTGTGGAATCACACATGGTGAGTCTGAACTACAGGGGAGAAGATCAAGAGCTGGTCTGTTGAGGAGCCACAAATTATTATAACCATATTTAGGAGACATGCTTATTCAATGTAAAAACTTTTTTTTATAGTATTTCACTTTGTCAGATTGACCCATCCTCTGCATTCTAATGTGTTGTTTGATAGCTAAACCTGTGATGAAAAGTCACAAATTTAAAACAATATTTATTTTATATATGTGTAAAAGTTCATGCTGTGGATAAATTCAGTGTAGTTTTTATTGATGTGTATTTAAGGTAGTTTAAATGTCTCTGCCACTAAACTGTAGTCATTTTTACACGAAACTTCATAAATAGATCTGAATAATTAAATGACTGAGCTACCTCTAACAGACTCTTCTCCTGTCTCTGTGTGCTTTAACAGAGCTCTGTTCAGGCTGCAGTGAAGAACTGTGAGAAGATCTTTACTGAGCTGATCTGCTCTATTGAGAGAAAGCGCACTGAGCTATCAGAGCTGATCAGAGCTCAGGAGAAGGCAGCAGTGACTCGAGCAGAAGAAGCCCTGAAGAGATTAGAGCAGGAGATTGAAGAGCTGAGGAGGAGAGACGCTGACCTGGAACAGCTTTCACACACTGAGGACCACATCCATTTTCTCCAGGTAACAGCGCTAGAAAAACCACCACACAGAGATCTAAACTTTTAAAAATAGAAACATAGGCTTAAGTTTTACCATGCAATACTACTGGAACGTTTGATCTACAACTTACATGTAAAACATCTTTCCTTACAACACCTGATCCATGAAAGTGCACTACTCGAAGTGACTGCTACGTTCAGGAGTTCAAGTAAAGTGCTAAAGCTTAGAGCACAACATTATGATGTAGCCATGTGTGTGACTGTAAAACTACTGAACAAAGAGCAGTTAAGTTTTGTTTCATTTAACCCTTAGAAGTCTGGAGTTATTAGTCATTTTGCTATATTATTTAAATATACACTGATCAGGCATAATATTATGACCACCTCTTTGTGGTGGTGGTGTGTTAGTGTGTGTTGCGCTGGTCTGAGTGGATCAGACACAGCATTGCTGCTGGAGTTTTTAAACACCTCAGTGTCACTGCTGGACTGAGAATAGTCCACCAACCTAAAATATCCAGCCAACAGCGTCCTGTGAGCAGCGTCCTGTGACCACTGATGAAGGACTAGAGGATGACCAACACAAACTGTGCAGCAGCAGATGAGCTATCGTCTCTGACTTTACATCTAAAAGGTGGACTGACAAGGTAGAAGTGTCTAATAGAGTGGACAGTGAGTGGACACAGTGTTTAAAAACTCCAGCAGCACTGCTGTGTCTGATCCACTCATACAAGCACAACACACACTAACACACCACCACCACGTCAGTGTTACTGCAGTGCTGAGAATGATCCACCACCCAAATAGTACCTGCTCTGTGAGGGTCCATGGGGGTCCTGACCACTGAAGAACAGGGCAAAAGGGGGTTAATAAAGTATACAGAGAAACAGATGGACTACAGACTACAGTAACTGTAGAACTACAAAGTGCACCTATAGAGTAAGTGGAGCTGATAAAATGGACAATGAGCGTAGAAACAAGGAGGTGGTCATAATGTTATACCTGATCTGTGTACAGTTGTATGCAAAGCTTTTAGCACCCCTGGTCAAATTACAGTTTTTTGTTTTTTTGTCTGAAAACAATGTAACATTGCATGGAAAATCACTTAAATATGGCATATGACCTTAAAATGTAATGCATAATTATTATTTATTTTCTGAATTTAACATTCTTGAACAAAATAAAACATGTAGACCCTGATGCATAGAATGCACCACCAGATTTACTGTACCATTAAGAGGAAATAGTGTGGCAGTAACATATTTGCTCATTCATAAAGAAGGATTACCGGTGAGTTTTACCGTTTGCCTGGCACACATTTCCATAATTTACATGAGCTAGTGTGATTCATATCACAAGACTATCCCACAAATAATGATGCCTGAATCTCTCTAATGGTAATTATCTCCAGTAAGAAGCTGATGTGGACTATCATTTCTACAATATTTCCAAAAATTATTAACTGAGAAATTATTAACAGTCTTCTTTAACACTTTTAGCTGACACTGTACTTAAAACAGCCTCTTTTTCCTCTATCAAATTAAGTGTTTGGCAGATCCCTCCTGTACGGAAAGTAGGTTTATCTTGTAATCTAAGTAAGTAAAGCGTAATTAGACATGTTAAGATTCTAATAACATGTTTGAATTAATTGTATTACAAGCAGTGCTTTCTTTTAATCCTATTTTTCAGTTTAAAAACAATTTTACAAATATATTACATGAGAAAATGACATTTTTATTAAAGAAAATTAATTTCTTCAAATGTGTAATTGGAATTTTACCATGTCAATTAAATTTTTTTAAAAACAGTAATTCATGTTGAAACACTGTGAAAAATGAAAAATTGTTACTGCAATTATATTGAATTAGAAAAAGGCTGGAATTCTTATCAATGAGATGAGATCTTTCATGCTAAAATAGAATTTTATCAACAACAACAATCATGAAAGAGGGTGAAAGAAGGAAATTTAAAAAAAAGTCTGACTGATCTCTAGTCTGTGATGCAGTGATTTCTTGTGCTATGTGAAATGTAATTAATATTAATTGATTAATAAATATATGAATAAATAAATAAATTCTACTTACCATACATAAATTAATATTCCCATAAAGTGGATGCTCAAACTTCAGTTTATACAACAGATACTGAAATACCAAAAGCTCAACACTGATCTAACGTCAATTGTTTTAGATACACAAATTTAAGCATGTACAGCAAGGCAGCAAGTTACCAAATCATAGTTCAGATGACTAGCTTACTGTTTTAACTGTAACTCAGATTTCTGATTTAGTAAAGTTTTATTTGATTTTTATTTCCTAAACTTGTGTGGGAGAAGTATCAAGTCTGACCTGTGGTGTGTGAAGTCATTAGTTTGCTAGCCAGCAAGCTAACAGCCTCACATATCACAAAACCTTGATTTCTGCATTTTTATCACTCTAATATCATTAAGTCGACTTCACTCTATATTTAATTTTAGTCATTATTCTTGAAGTTTGAAGTACTGTAATTTCTTACATTATTTCGTGAGAGCAAACATTAATAAAAAACTGGTGACTCGCTAGCCTAGCATAGCAGATACCAGCTAACTGTTAGCAAGTGATGCTCATTTTCATTACAATATATACAAAATTTAATGTTAACAAATTCTAGGAAAATTATAGGATTAGCTTCTAGTAAATGTGTGATTAAAAACTGTTGGTATGTCAAATAAACCAAGTATTATTCAGCAAAGCCTTCTTAAATTTTTAGAAGTGGCTCTAAGCTTGCGGTTCCTTTGCCAAGTCTGCCACACTGCAGCTAAGTTTGGCCTGATTCTTCATGCTAGCTGGGTGGGGATTGGTGCGTACTGTCAACAGCAACTGTATGGTTGGAGGTGACCTGGCTTTTTGGCTGTTTTGGGAGTGCCGAGCAGTGGTTCTCTCTGCTGCCGGTTCAGTAAAAGATTGAATTCGTAAAACTCTTAAGAACCATCATATAATCTAAGTTCTACTGCACTCTACATGTGATATTTGTTTACTTGCAGTCACTCAGCATCTTGCAATTACCTCTGACTGTAAAAGTGGATTAACTCAGCTATGAATACAGAAATTGCAGCAGCAATTTATGATGCTGTTTTTTTATTCTTCTAATTATTTATTGCATATTAAGAACACTTGCTTTAGGGATTGTATCTGAGTATAATCTTGCACAGATATTACAGATTAATGCTACTATGTTATTACAATCATTTAATCTTAAAGAACCTGCTTTATTTCTAACACAAAGGATAAAACTGTTCATAATTTTGTACAAAATTCACCCAGGAAAAAATCAGCTATTAAGTGCTCACCAACCTTCTGGACCAGTCTGACCATCATGGAGCTTCCTGCTGAGCAACGTTGTACAGACCTCACCTGCATGCCACTTGTGATATTTCTGCAGCTTTGTAACCATAGACATTGCTATTCCTGCTTTTCCCCTTTTTCCTTAAGTTATAATAATGATCAAAGCTCATTCTCTGCTGTTATTGTTTGCTATCCGGAGTCAACCAGAGGAGGATGGGTTTATCTTTTCAGTCTTGGTTCCTCTCAAGGTTTCTTCCTCTTGCTCTTAGGGAGATGTTCCTGCCACTGTCGCTTTTGGTGACGCTCATGGGGGCTCTGATCCAGAGTTTTCTAAAAAGCTGCTTTGTGACAAAGCCTGCTGTAACAAAGTGCTATATAAATAAACTTTGGCTTGACTTGACTAAATGTTACAAATTAATGGTAATCAACAACTTCTTTAACTTCTGTTCATTTAAAAAAACAACAAAACGTAATTTGATCAGGGTTGCCAACCTTATGCATACAGGTGTGCTAACATAATTATATAGCCATCTAATGAATTACATTTTTTTTAATTAACATTCTGCATCAATGTTTTTTCACTTGTTTTAATGATAATGTCAAAAAGGTAACAGAAATTTAAAACATTTATTTTTCTGCAAAATGAGACTGCGCACACAACAACATAAAATATTTCCTCTTTTACTTGCACACACAACTGTGGTATGGTTTGAAAGATCAAAATCTGGACTTTCCACAGAAAATATTTACTGGTTTCATCAGAGATAAATAATATTAAAATTACAATGTAATTTTATTGTTGCCTGTTACATAAATGTAAATGCAAGTTCTTGAGGTTTCAGAATTTTTAAGAGATAAGCATTTATTTGAACATTCTCTCTTTTTTTGTTTTCTTTTCTGTTTTCTTTTTGTTCTGTGTAGAGTTTCCCATCTTTTTCAGCTCCTCCTGAATTTGCCAGATGTTCAACCACCGTGTTCAGTCCTCTACTTACCTTTGAGGAGGTAGTAAAGACTGTGTTACAGCTGAGTGAGAAACTGGAAGAGCACTGTGAACAGGAATTTAAAAAGATATCCAGTGGAGGTAGATTACTTTAATGTAGTAACTTCTTTTGGGCCAATTTGTTCACTGAAAAAACAAAAGAAACAAAATCTCCTGTCTATTCATTTACATCAAGCGTATTCTGTTTTAATTAAATGCAATAATATGACAAAGAATTACTGCAAATTCTGGTTTTACAATAATCTGAACAGACTAATTGACAAAGTACAATTTTCTCTCTCTCTCTCTCTCTCTGTTCCTTTATGATATCTGTGTTTAAATATTTCCACAGTGAAGGAAATAATGATTGTTCCCCTTCCTGAACCCCAAAGCAGAGAAGAATTTCTTGAGTGTAGGTCTACATCTCTTGCACACACACATTACTAGCAAAACAAATTATAAGTAGACAAACAAATACCAGTAAAGAATCAAACCAGTCTTGGCCTGGTCCTACCCAGATTGATCACAGGCCCACCTAATCAAATATGGAAAGAACATTTATTAAGCTGTATTTTTTTGTTTTCTGTTGGTGCTGTGATTGTATTATAGTCAATCAAATCATTACGCTCTCCACCAAGCACCACCTTCTTTTCAACAGCTGCTTAGCAATTGTTGCTATCCACCAATGCCTCAAGCCCTCAGTTTGTTATTAGAGTGTCAGTATTTGAATTTGAAGCTCCAGCTTTAGTTAACAGTGTACCTGTTGGAGCTGTAAAAATGTCAAATTAAATAGTCTACTTAAATGCATCAGGTCATCAGGAATTGGCAATAGCCTGATGTTATGTCATTGCAGGACAATAGTGCATTTGAAAATTATATTAAAGTTCAACGACCCACTTTTTTGCAGGTTTACCCAAAAAATGTTCTACCTTTGGTTTAGGTGTAGGTTAATTTTCTTGACAGCTTTTCTGTCAGAATCTATCTGAGTCTTTATTCATTAAAGCTGATGATGTTTGTTTTTCCCCATCAGATTCATGTGAGCTCACAATGGATCCAAACACAGTGAATACACTCCTCCACATGTCAGGAGGAAACATGGTGGTGACCTGCAGTGAAACAGTCCAGTCATACCCCCCTCATCCAGAGAGATTTGACTTTTATCCCCAGGTGCTGTGTAGAGAGAGTGTGGATGGTCGCTGCTACTGGGAGGTGGACTGGAGTGGAAGTGGTGGGGTTTATATTGCAGTCTCATATAAAAGCATCAGCAGGAAGGGAAATAGTTTCTTTGGATACAATGATCAGTCCTGGAGTTTGTTCTGCTCTCCCTCCAGTTATTCATTTGTACACAATAGCAAAGGTACTGTAATCCCCTTAGGATCTGACTGCTCTAGAATAGGAGTGTATGTGGATTATAGCGCAGGAATTGTGTCCTTCTACAGCATCTTAGAAACAATGATCCTCCTCCATAGAGTTCAGACCACATTCACCCAGCCCCTCTACCCTGGGTTTTGGGTTGGTTTAGGATCAGTACTTAAACTGTCCCATCCACCACAACAGATGATTATGAGTCCCTAAGAAGCTTTGTTTTAGCTTCACCTCCACTAAAAATAAATCCAAGTATGATTTTAATTATACTTAAATAATAATATAGAATGAGAAACTCCTTGTGTGTTAAATTTATACACCTGCAGCTCACACCTGGTCCTGTTTTCACAAAGCTTCTCAGAGGACTGATCTAGGATCTGTTCCTGTCCATCATGTCATAGTAAATTAGAGCAGAATCTAATAATAGCACTCATACTTTGTAAAGCTTTGTGTATATGAGCCTTGGACTCTCCCATTTATGTACACCTCTGTGTATCTGTTCAATGTTTGTCTTTTAAGTGAGTTCTGACCCACGTTCTTTGACTAGTGTTTATCTGTGTTTGACTTGCCTTGTTTCCTTGATATTGTAATGCTGGGTGATACACGAGCTTCTGTGCACCATTCTTAGCTAAACAAATAGCAAATTTGAAATGAATAAATGACAGAAATGACTATAATTGGCAAAGAAACAGAGACACAGACTCAGATAATGTCTGAGGTTAGAAACGTATGTGTAGGATTCTGATTTTAAAGCACGGTTAATTACATTACTAATGTAATGCAACCTCATCTCGGGTTACAAGATACTAAGAAAGTGATTGATCTTGTTGTTTTATCATTGTAATGCATTGCTCACATGGCTTCCTAAACTACAACAAACTACAACTTGTAAAAAATGCAGCAGCAAGGACTTTAACATGTACTAAAAAACAGGATTGTATTAAACCAACTTTAGCATCACTCCACTGGCTGCCCATTTCTGACTGTGTCCACATTACCCAAACTAAAAGCTTTGGCTCCACAAAGTCTGAGCTGAAAGCCATAAACAGGATTAAATTGTCTAACAAGTTTTACAGCTTAAAAGGAAGTTACCCTGGGACCAAGCATGGACACCACGGGAGGTTATCAACCTTCTGCCCCAAAATGTACACCAGGCAGCCATAAATCCCTGCCTGGAATCCAGCTGCAGAGTTTTGCCAAGACTCTTAACTAAACTTTTGAGTTACAGGAAATCAAATTTCTAAAGTGTGCATCAATTCCGAATTGCCGCCTTTTTGGATTTTATTGACAATTTAGATATGGAGCCACAGCACCTTTCGATGAAATTTAAAAACCGGTGGAGCAGCTTTTTGTTTTTATGCACTAAAGATCTGGAAAATGCTGCAAATAAACATTACTCAGGCTCCTCTTAATGATTTTAAAGAACAGTTAAAGACAAATTTCTTATTTTTAGCATTTAAATAGCTTTACTTACTTACAAATAGCTTATTTTTTGTTCATTATTTTAATTTTTTATTTATTATTTTTATTGTTTTATTTTTGTTTGTTTATATCTGTCTTTGTTATTGTTCTCCTTTTTGTCTCAGCTTTTATTGTCTTATTGTTTGCTGATATTACTACTTTATTTGACTATATCTATGTTCTTTTTTTCTCTGTTGTTTTTAGTTCACTCTGTAAAGCACTTTGAGCTGTATTTTGAATGTGTGAAAAAGTGATATTCAAATAAAGATTGTTATGACCTACCTTATCTAATCAATCCTTCATCAAATTAAATCAGGTGCTGCTGATGGAATTGAAAAAATCCATGTGAAAGCAGTATGGCAGTGGGAAGTCAGGAACCAAACCTGTGTTCTTCTAACTCCATTCTTCTAAACTTCTAAACTTCTAAAATTACAAATATATTAATACATTTATTGATACATTGTTAGGTTTTTCTGTATTTATGTTTATGTGCATTTATTCTGATGTTATATAAAGTTTTACTGGCAAAACACACTGCCTGGCAAGAAAAGACTTCTTCACAGAACTGTATTTTCTGATCAAAAGCTTTTTTTCAATATACTCATACTTCTGTGGTCCTCAAATGCCCTCTGCTGGCCAACAGCACTATTTTACAAGAATATGCTTTTTACAGCCTGCTTTTACACACAGCTTCTACACTCAGAATTTACAGTCAGCATTTACACTCAGCTTTTAGTCATCTTTTAAAGTTTGTTTTTACACTCAGATTGTGCAGTCAGCTTTTATAGTCAGCTGTTAATAGCTATAGACATTTATTACACTCAGTTTTTACAGAAAGCATTTACAGAAAAAGTAGACAGGTTTATTGAAATATTATGGGGAAGGATCCCAAAACAACTTTACGATGAACTGAGCAGAGCTCTGGATCTGTGGACACCAAGCCTACACACCAGCCTGTAGATAGTTGTGTTATTTTAGAATAATCAAAAGCTTTTGGTATGTTATTAGTGGTGGGTATATTAGTGATTCTAACTTTACTGAAGGTGCCCCTCATTTACAATGTTGCCAAGTTAATACAGAGCAAGGGATTGATAATGTTTTATTCAAATAATACAAATAAATTTAATAAATGAAGACTCAGATCAGGTAAGTATAAAAAGTTAAACATTAATAGTAAAAAATACATAAAATTATAATAAAAAATAATAAAACAGTAATTAAAACATACATAAAATGTAAAGGTCAAAATCAAAATGAAACAAGAAAAGAAAAGATAAAAAAATTACTAATAAACAAATTTATTAAAATGACAAATAATAAAATAATAATAATTAAAGTAGGAATAAGAATATGAATAATAATGGATAAACTAACAAATAAATAACAAAATAATGAAAATAAGATAAAAATGGTAAAAAAAAATCTGGTAAAACAGTTGCAGGCAAAGTGGAGGTGGTTAGAGAGTAGAAGTTTAAAATGACCAAGTGACACCAGCGAGCTGAGCTTTAGTGTTTCCTGTAGTGAGTTCCAGCTCGCTGGTGCACTGTAACTAAAAGCAGATTTTCCCAGTTCAGTAAAAACCCTTGGTACCTGGCATGTGATCCAGCCACTGGAATGAGTCTGATAAATATATATATAAATTAAATATAAATATAATTTACAGATATCATTGAAGTAATATATTCTGGCAAATGGCCGGAGAGTGGTTTATAAATAAAAATAACCCAGTGTGTTTCCCGCCATGTAGCTAGTGAGGGCCAACCAACTTTTTCATACAGTCTGCAGTGATGAGTGTTATAACGGTCTCCAGTGATGAACCTCAGTGCAGAGTAATAGACTGAGTCCAGTGGTTTGAGGAAACTGGCAGATGTGTGTTTGTAAATTACATCACCGTAGTCCATGACAGACAGTAAGGCTACCTCAACAATTCTCTTTCTAGCATACATGGGGAAACAGGATTTATTTCTGTATAGAAAACTGAGCTCCTGCCTACATTTGCTAACCAATTTATTAATATGGGATTTATAAGTGAGTTTGTCATCCAGCCATATGCCAAGGTACTTATACTCTGTGACTCTCTCAATGTTGGATCCTGTCAGGGTAGTGATATTTACAGAATTAAAATCAGTATTAGTAGATCTGGAAAATAGCATAAACTTAGTTTTCTTAGCATTTAAAACCAGTTTGTGTTTACGCAAAGCAACCTGAAGAGCATTAAATGAGCATTGCAGTTTTCTTATTGCAGCATAAACAGAGTCAGCTGAACAGTATAAAACCATGTCATCGGCATACAGGTGTACTTTGCAGTCTGAGGCAGAGACAGCAAGTTCATTAACATATATATTGAATAAAACTGGGCCCAAAATTGAACCTTGTGGTACTCCTTTGGATATACTCAAGAAATCTGATTTGTAATAACCCAGTGCTACACATTGTTGCCTGTCTGAAAGGTAATTTTGGGTCCATTTTAGTGCATTTGTATCAAAGCCAATCTTTTGTAAGTTCCTTAAAAGAAGAGTGTAATCAACTGTATCAAATGCTTTGATAAATCAATAAAAATGGCAGCATAATGCTTCTTCCTGTCTT